CCCAGAGAGAGCCTAGAGGCCAAAAACACCCACTCCGGTTGCCCCTCCTCCCATGAACTTCTTGGCAGGCCCTGCCTTTCCCCACCTGACTGATGAGCAGGTCGCCCAAACGATGGATGACGAAGTTCCGGGTGCTGCCGGGGCACAGAGCCTGCCGTCGGCGCTCCAGCAGCTGGCTGAGGAAGCGAGTGTGGATGTCACTGAGCTCATCCACGCAGGGGAACAGGCCCTGGACCACGGCGGGCTCCAGCTGCAGCTCCTCCAGCATCCCCGTGCGGAAGAGCCGGGTCATGATCTTCAGCGTCCGCACGTGGTGCAGCTCCGTCTGGATTAGCTCTGTGGGGCGACGGGACATTGGGCCTCTACCCTGGCTGGACCACCACAGTGGGGGGGGGGGGCTCTCGGCTGGGGCCCCCAGGGGTTTGGGTGAGTGGGCAAAGGACCCCTCCAGGGGAACATTCCACACCATTACGATCTTCAATCATTTTTCTCATCATGTGTGTGTATCGCCACCACATGCTGTCAGCTCTTTCAGGGCGGAAGTCACGTATCTGGCCTCCCCCCAGCCCCCAGCATGCTGCCAGGCAGGGAGGGAACAGGCACCGAGTGAAGACTGAGGATCAGGTAGGTGACGGGAGAGACAGGGGCTGCGCAGACCAGCAGCCCCAAGAGGTGGTGGAGACCAGGTGCCAAAACCCTGGGGGTGCATGCAGGGCTTCCCAGCCAACAGGCCCTGGCGGGAAGGGCGCTGAAAGGTGGGTCCTGGCAGAAGGGTGGGCGAGGACGGTCAGGGCTGGCCCTTGGCTCACCATAGATGACGTCCTGCTGCTTCATCTCCTCCTTCCTGTGCTGCTGCAGGAAGCTGCTGTCCACGGCCAGGCTCCACGAGTCGGCCGCGAAGTCCTTCTCATCCATCTCGAAGTCGCCCATCAGCTCATTGTAGATGACCTCGGCGCCTGGGCATCCGGAAGGGGGGAGGAGCCTGGGTCAAGTTCTCCGGGTCCCTTCTCGGGCCGGCCCCCACCAGCCACTCTTCCCAGCGCTGCCTCAGGCCCTGCCTGGCCCACTGACCTTCATCAATGAGGGACTCCACCGACAGGGTTCTGTTCCGCATGTTGAGGGAGTCCGTAGACTGCGAGAGGATCCGGCGCAGGCCCAGGGGGGACTCATCGTTGAAATGTCTGAAGGGAGAGAAGGCAGCCTGCATCCCCCTGGCCAGAGACCCCATCCCAGATTGAGAGCCAACTCTGAGCTCAGCAGTGGGAAAGGGTAGCCCTCATTGCCCACCCGCGTCCTGGCCCCGGGGCTCACCCAGCAATGTTGGTGGTGGACACACTCTTGGAGAGGGACAAGGACGAGCGGCCTCGGCGGGAGCCCAGCAGGGACTGCCGGAAGCTGTCGGAGGGGTAGATGGCAGAGGTAGGCCGTTCCCGGGTTGTTGCTGTGGGAGAAAGGAGTCAGGGGGAGGCCAGACGGCAGGCGAGCGCCTAACACCAGCGCCCTCCAAGGGCACCAGCCTCCTAGCTCAACAGAAAACGAGGCGCCGTCTCCTTGCCCCAGTAGACACATGGTAACAGGGGTCGGCATAAAGCCGCCTTTTAATGGAGACGGGGAAGGGGCTTTACTTGTGCTTTCTCAGGCCGCAAGCCCATGGGCAAACTGAAGCTCAAAAGGGGATAGAGACTTGTCCCAAGGGGACCGGGCTACATACAGGTGGCAGGGACCGCCACTCTGGCCTTCCTGAGCTAGAACTATGTTCTTTCTGTCACACAGAAGTCTGTCTGAATGGACACCTAACAGCTGCTGCCAATGCTCCCAGAATGCACTGGGAATTGCCGATAATAATATCCGTTGGGTCAGGCCCAGATGACCAGCTGCTCCCAAACCTGCTTGAGCTCTCCTTTCCTGCCTCTCAACCCAAGAATCTGTACCATCTCCCCCATGAAGGCCTCCACCTCCCCCATTCCAACTGAGGCCTGAAGGTGTTGTGGCCAGTAACAGCCTCATGGGGGCAGCAGAGGTTATGGGCTGAATCCCCTGGAGTCCAGGGTCCCCAGTGGGGCTCCCTCCACTCCCCCAGGACTCACTCTTACAGCGAAGAGAAACTGACTGCAAGGCTGTGTTGTTCTTCAGCAAGGCAGCTTTCTGTTGCTGTGAGACAGAGAACAAGAGACACCAAGTACAGCTGTCACTGGAGGGCCACCCCACAAGCAAGAGGGCAGGTGCTAAACTGGGAGCCTGGGTTAAGGGTAGCTGCGCCCAGTGCCCAGGGGGATGGATGTAGCTATAGCAGAAGGCTTGAACCGCCTGGTGGTCTGGGCTGTCTCTCCAGTCAGGGCTGCCCCTCCGTGGGGACAGAGGTTGAGGACCACAGGGTAGGGAATGAAAGGAAAGGCCCACGGGTACTGCGCACTCACTGCCCACTCCCCCAGCCCTCTGCCCTCCCTGCCATCTCACCTTCTGCTTGACCTTGGTACAGTTGGCCAGGGTGTCTTTACAGCGGTTGTGGATAGTCACATTGCAAGCTGGGAGGATGGGTAGAGAGGGTGAAGGGGGGCCGAGTGGCACATGGGGGGTACACCCACCTACCGAAATGCAGACACCCACCTCCCCTTGGCCGCATAAAGACTTGCTGCTGCCCCCTTCCCAGGCATCCTGCCCATGACCACAGCCCAGCTGGCCCCCCCCGCCCCCCCCCTTTCCTCAGAGCATTAGGTGAAGCCCCAGGGGTACAAACACAAGCCAGTCAGGTGGAGGAGGTGATCCTCACCCCAAAGATGCTTTGGGGGAGGAAGGAGTGGCTGGCTCAGAAAAAGCATGAGGTCGTTAGAAAGGGCAGATGGAGGAGAAGGCGGCCCAGGGTGGGCTTGGGAGACAAAGGTGTTTCCTGAACATCCAGTGAATGCTCTTAACCCTGACACCCTTTGAGGCTCAGTCAGCTGCCAGGGACCACAGAGCCAGGGGTAGAGCCGGGGTCTGAACTGGACCTGCCTGTGCTCAAAGACCATGCTTCTTCCCTGCGCCAGGCAACAGCATGTCCTTGACCTCTGGCTCGGCCCAGGCATTTCCAAGTCTGAAGGCTCAGTGGCAGCGGGCCCTGGCCCCCTAAGCCTGCCTGCCTCTGCACTGTTCAGCTCTGCCTGATCCTGAGACCCTGGGAGTTTGTTCCCCAACTCAGGCAAAGCCCCCACCACCACCCGTTTCCCACGCGCTCCATCTGCCTCTCCTCCACCCTCACCCCACCTTGCCCGGGAGGAGGAGAGGCAAGGAGTGCCTGCCTACATAGAGACCACAGGCCAGGCCAGGCAGTCTCCTCCCCTCCCCTCCAGAAGCCCTCAGCCCCAGGCCCTCTCCAGCTTCCCCTCCCCCAGCCAACAACACCGGAAACTCTGCTAACTCCTTCAGACAATGCCCAGCCCCACGCTCACTTCCACAAATACAAGACAAGCAGGGTGGGGCAGGGGGAGGCAGACAGAACCGGAGGCTGGGGGCTGCTCCCACCTCCCCTTCTCCAGCCCCACCACCCAGTGCCTCTGGTCTCTGGATGGAACCTCCACTTTGAACCTCCACTTTCCACCTGCTCTCAAAATAGTGCTGCGCCCCCCTCCTTGTTCCCCTGGCAACAAGCTTCCGGATTGGGGACGTGGTTAGGTCTCCAGAGGGCCCTCCATTGGGGTTCCCCTCCTCACCCTCTTAAGAGCGAGCAGTGTGGAGGTGGGGAGACCTCGCTGGTTCCTTCTGGGGGTTCCGAACCTCAAGTTCCGCAGAGGGATTTAGAAGCTGGAGTTTTTGTGTGCCCCACCCCCACCCCATGCAGGTCACAATACTTTCACTCTTATTCTAATCATCAGCCATAAATTCAGGAGGGGTGGTGTGCCGAGATGATGCTAGAGGGATAGGCATCTACAGGATCAGTGCCCCCCACCCCTAGATAAGCATGGTCACGCTCTGCCGACTGTCAGGAGCCTACCCGACCAGCCAGCCCCTCGGCATGCCCTTTCTTCTCACTGAGCAGTCACACCAGACATTTGAGACACCGGAGGTCCCAGGCTCCATCTCAGTCACCAGAAAGGCAGGGGGGCAAGGGGACCCTGAAGTCCCCACCATCCTGATCTGCCCAGAAAGATGGGCAGAACCAGCTGCAAGGTTGGCAGCTTTCTGCTGCCCCCTGCCCCCCAGTTCCTCCCCCCCACCCCACCCCATTCCTGTTTTCATAGTTGCCCTGACCCTCAGCAGCTGCTCTGGGAGCACAGGGATGCCCAGTGGCCGACAGCTGCAAGGGCAGCC